AGGAATGCCCTGGTGCTGCACGTTCCCAAACTGGTGCTGCTATCGAGACGGGCTTTTAGTTGTTCCTTCTGCCCCCATTCTTCGCGTGGTACAAACGTTCTCATGCAACCACAAAGCAAGCTGCTTGAATGTGCAAGGCTACAGAGGAGGTGGTAGGGGCAGGAAGTCACATAACCCCAAGCACAGCAGTGCCAGCTTGAACTGCTGAAGCAATGCCATCGTCAGCAACTGCAGTGCATGGCTTCCTGTGTCAGCTAGAATAAGCAGAGATTTAATCAGAGGCTATAGCAGTTATCTAAAAAGACTGTGTGCACTGTCTGTTCTGTTCCAGGAAGAGCAGCCATCACCATTAGGTGAGGCTGTTGCTGCTGTCTGAGCAGCCTGTCAGACTGCTCTGTTGATGCTAGCAGTGATGGCAGCGTCTTCTGCTGTCCCTAGTGGTAGGCCCTTAGGGAACAGCTTTGAATCTGTTCAAAATAACTATTGGTCTTCTGGAAGCAGTCCTTTAACGTGAGTTAGAATTATAAATTTGCTGGCCAGACCTTGGCTATCAACTCTCCAGGCCTAGAAGAACACTTCTGCTTCCTTCCCTTGTGTGAGATCTGGTGCTTGCACTGCTGTGGAGTGCTATCAAGCAGCCAACACTGATCAACACCAGGAGCCTGACGACATGCAAAGTTGCATCCCCAGCGGAATGGAAGTGCTGTCAAACGTGCAGTAGCTCAGAGGGACTCTCATTTTAACTGTCTACAGCAGGACTAGCAGCAAGGAAAGACTCTGGTTCTTTGGAATTGAAGGTAGCACATCAGTGTGAACCCCTATGCTTGTGTGCTGAATGGCCCCAGAAACAGATGCAGTGACAACCTTCCCCAAGGAAAGTATACTTTGCTACACTCCAGACAACACTTGCAAGTTTGCCTAGCAAGCCTCTATTAAAAAAGAAAAAAAAGAGGGGAGAATGTTCAAAGCACTTTAAGTCAATCTGTTGGCTAAGATTATCTAAAGACTGGTAATTTGAGGTATGTGAAAGGGACATCTTTCACTCCTCATTAGCTAATGCTTATTTTTTTTCCCCCTATGATAGCCTAGCTCAAGCGGGAGGGTCTAGACTCCTATGATAATATGCTGACCAGATTTCCCTCAGTCTAGTTCCCTTTGGTTGAGCCTAAATTCAAAGGCAGAAGTCAGAGGTGGCAGGAGCTTGAAGACAAAGTTAAGCTGCAGCACTGATCCCATCCAGCCCAGAGGGACCATTTTTAATGAAGCTCTTACCGTAGTTGTCAGCTTTGGTCATTAGTAAGTTTCTCTCTCTCTCCAGTGACTTTCTGTAATGAGAAGAGGAGTTCATTACCTGCGAGGCACAACACAGCCTATTTCTTTGCTTATATGATGGAAGAGAGACTGTCCCACTGCTGGGGATATCTGCTCACAGAACGAGCCCCTCACCCTTCACTGTGGAGAGGTGACAGTTTAGAAACCCCCAGCTGTGCAAGAGAAGAGATGCAACAGTTTTAGATTATTTTTTCCTTCCCCCAAACTGCTTCATATCTCTCTTTTCAGGATAGTGTCAGTGTACGCAGGCTAGAAAAGGGGCTGTGTGGCAGAGCACCCTGTATTCTATTCCCCCAGGTGGGGTAGGAAGTTCTGCCGCAGCTACGGGATGGGGCAGGGTCCCTACAAGCTCTCTGCAGGATCCTGCCCCTCCAGCACATCTGGCTCAGTGCTGGAATGCTAGTTCTCACTAACTGAAGGTGGGATCCCTCTGTCAGACGTATCCAAGCTACACAAATTGGTCAACTCAAGGAAACAAGCTGAATCCAAGCCCAGTAACAACCAGTTAAACAACCTGTTATTAGACTGAAGACTCAGGGTAATAACAATAAAGAGTAAGTCAGGCCAAGCCAGCCCTTGTCCTAAACTGCATAAGATGATTAATTAAGATACAGTTCAAAATATAAAAGCAAAACAAATTGCCTGCAAGCAGCATTGTTTCCTTTATGGCAGTGAGGGCACGGTCACTGCTTTTAGACTGTGTGCATATAAATAAACATGCACTAACAAATTATCTCCTGGTTCAGAGCAGACAGAAAAGGCAGTAAGTGTAACAGAGTTTGTTGTTCCCCTTGGGGCAGAGCAAGAACCTGTAGGAGGAAAGAGATCCAAATCTATGTGTACAGCTAGTTAAGTAAGGGATGGCAAGAAAGCAAGCTACGTCAGAGGAGCAGGAGAGGAAAGGGCTCTTAAAGGCAACTGGGGAGAGGCAATGTGGAGTGCAGCCAGGAAGAAGTGAGAAGACAGATTTACCAACATGACTGAGCTGCTACTTAGAAACTCGCCTTGTGAAGAGAGTCAAGGGAAGAGGCTTTGAGAATGAGACATGAAGAAACCATGACAACTGAACTTCAAAATGGGAAAGCAGAGCTCTCCTTTTGTGTACTACTCACTGAATCAATAATTTTGATCATAGTACATTCCTCCAGGGTTTTTGGAATGGTCTGGATTTGGACAACAGAACTTCTATCTCCATACAAGTTGTAAAATTCAGAAAAGGCTCCAGGAGTCCCTAATCTTAATTCTTTGTTCTAGGCCCTATATTTCAGAGAGAAATCAGACAGATATATTTCATCCTGTTAAGGTACCACAACTGTAGGTTTGGTTGTTGGACACCTCAGTAGCAGATAAAGAATACAGACAGTAAACACAAGAATAATAATATAGGCCTAGATGAAGGACTGGTGAGATGAGGAGCTAGAGAGATGAGGGACAGGAGGAGACAGGACCCTGTCCAAATATGGGTGGGGATATAAAACCTCAGTAAAGGAGAAGGAAAGAGAGAGAGGCTGGCTCAAGGGATGGCAGACAGAGCAAAATAACTGAGTGGAAAGGAGGAACAAAGAAGATAACCTGAGGCTGGTAAATATCGGTCTGAAGATGCCACCACTGCTAGGATCACTTCTAACTGGGTTCTGTAGGACAGTACTGTAAAGCAGACACCGGGACCAACAGGGCTGCTGCCTGGGCCTACAATTGAGCTTCCTAGCCCTTTTGCTAGGGGCAGAGCAGTAAGACGCTGGTGACTGGAAGAATGCCCTCAAGCAGCCAGATCTGAGAATCAACTGGGAGATCTAGGATCTCTTGCTTCACACTCTAGAGAAATAGCAGGTTCTGTCTGTGACTGCTACAAAATCCAGGTCAAAGTACTTGCTTGAGTCTCAGATCTAGAAGCGTACAGTTGCTGCTTCTATGTCAGCAACAGATTTCAGCGGAATCTTCCCTCTTTCTTTCCTAAGGAAAGCCAGTGTGTCGCTGCATTCCTACGCATTTGCCACACAGGCACAGATAGAGTCACTTCCCTCAGCCCCTTTCCCAGTTGCATCCCAGCCTGGTTTGGCCCTCAGTAGTAGCTGCTGCACATCTCCCCTGACTGAACTTGGGCAGCTTCAGCAAGGCTTGAGTAGCAGCGTGCAGTGAACCTTTGCCAGACTTACAGAGCTGTTTCCTAGCAGGCCAGGAGCCAGCCCTGCAAATGAACTGGCAAGTTTTGGGCACTGCTTGGCTGGTTGCAGTGCAGGTTGGAGACTGAGGCTGTGGATAAGATAAAACTTTCTCCATATATCACTGAACTTCTCACCTTGGCACATTCCCAAGAAAGCTCCAAGCTAGGGAAATGGTCTCTTCTCCCAACTAACTAGCGATAGGACGAGAGGACATGGATTCAAGTTGCATCAGGGGAGGTTCAGATTGGATATTAGGAAAAATTTCTCTACTAAAAGAGTTGTGAAGCATTGGAACAGGCGGCCCAGGGAAGTGGTGGAGTCACTGTCCCTGGAGATGTTCAAAAAATGTGCAGATGTGGCACTTCAGGACATGGTTTAGCAGGCAAGGTGGTGATGGGTTGACGGTTGGGCTTGATGATCTTCAAGGTCTTTTCCAACCTTAATGATTCCATGATTCCCATCCCTCCAAGAGCCCCTGCTCAGTACTACAGCAGGATGACAGCTAGCTAAAGTGCACAGCCACAGCTGTGAACAGAGGCAGTCATCAATACCTTCCTTCAGGGCTGAGCTTCTCCCTGCGCAGTTTAAGATCCACCTCCTCCATGCTCTGTCTGCAGCGCGCCAGCTTCTCCTCCAGTCCATCAATCTGAAAAACATCACACCAGTCACCATTACTCCCTCTCCCAGCTAAAACGGATCCATCCCCACTCAGACGGGAAGGGTGGCAGCTCAGCCACTCCACCTCCTTCCTCCCCAAATCAAGGGAGGAACAGTCCCAGCTCTGTGTTGAGGTCGCAGCACAGACAGCCCATCGCCTCCCAGATCAGCCTGTATTGTACCCCAGGCAATTGTGACATTGTAATCCCAGACACAGCCAAGCCAGCTCTAACACCCCCACTCGTGTGGCTGGCCAGCACATTTTTTCTAAGATCTGGTCCTGTTCTAGCCTGTTCTAGTTTCTTTGCATGTGGGCCCACAAGCAAAGATGTGATCTAAGGCATCTTTATGCAATTAGAAGAGGATAAAATGAGAGAGAGTGGCCTTGGCCAAAACCTGAGGGACAAAGTCTTGATTTAGTCCTGTGAACAGATGCAGTACTTCATGGGACATGACTGCAAAGCGCCCTCAGTTGCCTGCTTGGGTGAAGAGGGGACAAAGGGGAAACACTGGTACCTACTGCCTCATTTACCCAACTAAATCTACAACAGCAACAGCAGTCTGCACAGTATGCTCAAAAGAGCATTCACCACCACCTCCACCCTGCTTGCGTGCCTTCAACCTGCACCTAGTTCTGGCAGCAACATGTTCCCATGCAGAAAAACACTGGTCATCTCTTTGTGTCTCCTCGTCAGGTTTCCTAACAGCTGCCCCCTGTGTCTTCCTGTAGAGGGGAGTAACTCTGGGTAAGTACAAGAGGATCTACTTGCACGCAAACAGATTTCCCAGGAAGGAATCCTACCACAGACAACAGTTCTCCTGGGAATCATTCCTCTTCTCTACCTGCAACCAGAGTGTAGACATCTTTAGGAAAACTTTGTCTTTCAGGCTTGCTTCCAGCAGGGAATCAGTGGGACTAATCAGATATTACGAACACAACATCCTCGCCCCCCAAAAAATGGCCTTGGTGCCCTGAGGTAGCAATGACCTCTCTTTTTAGCTTAGTGCAACACTCTTGCTGTGTATGATTCTCCAAGCAAGACCAAGGCTGGCTAGATTGCTGGCAGCATGGCCCCTCCATAGTGGCAGCCTTCACAAACCAGAAGCAAAGAAGCAGCACAGTCCCAGGTAAAGTGCCAAGGTGGAAAGAGACACCAGCTGCCTGGACACCAGCGTCAGAGGTGATCCAGAGCACAAAGGCTCCCATAAACAGTGATATGGGAAACAAAATCAAAGGTAGTGATCCCTAATTATTGCTGCTTTGGGGATCAGCTCCGTCCTGAGCTCATTAGCAGTCTCACACCTTCTGCTCAGGAAAGCAGGCAAGCATTATAAAGATGCAGGATGGGAGAAGAGGCTTGCTGTAAAGGGGAGAACAAAGCAGACTGCAAAGCAGCCAGTCAGCTGAACAGTCTCACTGCAAGGAGCACAGTAGAGCTGGGGAGGGGGCCACATATAACAAAGGCTCAAATCTTTGCATCTTACCAGATAGCAGTTTCAAAGTCCCCTGTTGTTAGGCAACTCTGCTGGGGCTGTTGAGACGCCAAGCTCCCCAGAGGCACCTGCACAGCTTCCCCTGAGCCCAAGGTGAGCACCAAGGCACATCACCTGATCCCAGAGCACAGGGAATGGCGCTTCTGCATTCGGCAATGCTTGGATTTGTCTGGACAGAGACACAGGTATTTTTGAAGTATGTTAGCTGAAAATGCATTTGGTCAGGGCAAAGATAATTGCCCTCCTCCATATCCAGCTGTGCCAGTTAAGAATGTTAACTCCAGCTGCTCATCACTATTGGTCATCCACTACAGCTCAGTCAACAGGATGCATTACCCCAGCCTGCTTCAGGGCCAGCCAAGGGCTTCAGCCAAGTCAGCTCTGACCACCCTTATAAGCAAGTTAATTTAATGGCAGCGTGCAGCAGAGTGGAGGTGGGGTGTCCGTCCAGTCCAATTCAAGAATGGCCATCTCCCTCACCAGTTCCTACTGTTTGCAAATGACTGTGTCTCTGTTCCCTTATCGGTCGGAAACCCTCATATACACACACGGCAAGAGGCACTTCAGCATGTGTCACACAGCTCCTCCTTAGCCAGTAAACTTATTACAGTGCACCATGCTTTCTCTGGAAACACGTTTAAAAATCATGTTAAATAATACAACTTAATAAGAGCTTTGGTTAGTCAGCTGCCAACCCCACTACTGTATTATCCACGTCACTGCACTTCCTATCCTCTCCCCCAGAACTGCTCCTCCTGCTAAGTTTGCAGTTGCTCTCACTAGTACATTCTCTGCCCACACTTCTGTCTTTTCATGAGGCATAACAGGAGGATATTCTGCCCAACTCTGCCAGTGCTTTTATTTCTGCTGACTAAAAATCTCCAGATTCCACATAATACTTTAAAAGTTGCAACTGGTTTTACTGCTCTTAAATCAAAACCAAAGTTTGAGTCCCCTGCTGGAGAGCAATAATTTGCTAATAAACCACATGCTCTAGAACTGCACCATCAGCTTTGCTGAGCCGGGGCCACAAGGGACAGAAAATAACCAAAAAAAAAAAAGCAAGGAAGGAAGAAGAGATTGCTGAATGAACAAAATATTTTTCCTCCAGAATCGCACTATTTCTGTTTTTCAGGCTAGTCTGGGACATTAGGGATTGTAAGGAAGGATGAGAGTGACGATTCCCAGATGTTATTCATTCACCGTGCCTCAGTTTCCCTATTTGTAAATTAGGACAATACTATCTGGCTCATTTACACAAGAGGCCTCAGACACCGACCCAAACTACAGGCACAGCACTGTGCTGATGTCAGTGCTATTGCCTCACTTGGGATCTAGGTCTGTTCATGTAAGCTAGGAGTCTCTCAGCAGCTCAGCCATCCAAGTAACTCTTCACTGCAGGACAAAGGAAAAAGAGAAATAGAAAATAAGCACAGAGAGAAATCAGAGCAATGCCTGGGAATTACTGATTACTCTCTGGGCTGCTGAGCTAACTCCCAGGGGGGCCGTAGCCTGTAAAGCTGTAGCACAATAGAACCTGTAGAGCTTTGGCATAATTCCCTGTAGCAGCTCTCTAGGAGAGCAATCCTAGAAGCAGGTGCATACCTGAGCATGTTGTGGATAGAGAGCTCTCCTTCCTACTGACTGACACATGAGAAGGTTAGTTGGGATATGTACCTGAGCCTACTGGAGGCCCGTATGAAAAAGAGATCCAAGCTCACATAGCTGAACCATCACTGCACTGCCACTAAAAAGATACGCCAGTCTGAAATCTCAGCACAGTGGCTTTTACATTGCAAAGACAAATCCTTGCTCCTCCTGACTCTCCTCTCCCTGAAGGGGATCCTCTGGGACAGAGCTGAAGTGCAGCATGCAGAAAGCTCACACGACAACTCCTCAGGTTCACAGGGCCTGTAGCAGGGACACAGGACTTCACTTACAGCAACATCTTCAAGTAGTGTCAGTTAAAAGGGGCAAGTGAAACAGGTGCTTCACATCCAGGCAGCAGCTTGGGGCACACAGAGCTGCCCTTCTGCTCCCCAGGAGCCACTCCTGAAAGTAAAGTCCCAGCAGCTTTGGACACACACAGGGATGTAAGACCAGATGCCTCTTTTGCTCCACAAGGTATGACAAGGCATTGAGCCATTTTTGTTGAATTCTGGCAACACTTCGCTTGCAATCTGGAGACCTTTTTAAACCAGAGAGACCTGGAGTGGATTTCAATCCCAACTGACTTACATGCTTATTACAAATCTCGTTTGTTGGGACCATCTTGGGCAGGGAGCCAAAAATGGCTCACATAAAGGCAGAGACAAAGAGAGAAGAGAGAAAGAAGCAGCTTTGCTTACAGAGTTGAGCTGGATCCCTTTTAATACATTTTGTAATGAATTAATAAAAGCTCTCTTTCCAGCAGAAAGGCTAAAAGCGCTTTTCAAGAACTGGCATCCACCCTCTGCTTTTATGAATTCCCTAATTAAGATACTGGCAAAGAGCCATATCACACATACGTCGACATCCAACAGCGTTAGGTAATGAGGTTTTCGTCTTCTGACCCTCATAAAACAGATCAAAGCCAACTGAAGAGGTGGGGGCAAAGAAAAAAAAAAACACCTTCCCCAAGCAGTCTTCTCATGCCTTGTCACCTGCCAGCACACTTGAGCAGTTCTTTTCACAGAAGAATTAGTGGTTCCTGCATCCACAAATTTGGCTGGATTATTAAAATCAGTCCAGCAGAGACAAGTTTCGTTTAAATTCAAATGTTAACTCACAGTTTATGGACACACTTTCATTTTCACCACGCTCTTGGAATCATTTTGCATGCTGGCAAATCATTTCGCAGATGCTGTGCCCACAGTGTACCTGGAAATATTTACCAGGCAAGTGACGACACAACAGAGGATGATCCACCAGCAAAGTCTAATATAAGTCCTGCAGATCAACCCTCTGATTTGGTAAAGCAGAAAGGGCTGGATCCTACCTGCAACTCCTCCTTCAGCCTTGCAGCGGCCATCCAGTTAGCCCTCCCATGCTCCCTCAGCTCAGACCAGCTGTTTTGCAGCACAGCACACAGATGTGACCACATGGCACCACCCACAGCTTTTTGAAAAATCGTCTAACAGCTTTACTGAGTAAAAGTTATGTTGGCCTCTTCCCTATCCTTTGTGCTCTTGCACAGACACTGACCCAGCCACTGCCTTGTCAGAAGCAGCAACACATGTAACAATACTTTCTCCAATGACACGCTCAATGTTTTGCAGCTCAGACGCTGCCTAACCACAGGGTGTTGTTCTCTTATGCGCTTAACAGTCCCATTTTTTTGCTTCCGTGAATTTTTGTTTAGCTGCTGTCCGAGCCCAAAGTATATTTTTAAGGGCTACAACATCCTCTGGCAAGGAGTTTCACACAGCACAGCCACAAGTTATGGAAAGAACCAAGCCCTCCTGTTTGTTCTGAGCTTGTCAGCTGCTAGTTTCATTTGATAGCCCTGATTTTGTATTGATAGTGCACGTTCGTTCTTTGTTTAAAATCACAAATAGCATACAGAGGATACAGACCTATACTGGGTCCCCTCGCAGTCATGTTTTCAAGCTTAAAAGGACCTGGTATGCTTACTTGTTTCTTGCATAGAAGTTTCCCACACCTTTGATCATCCTTGTCACTCTCGTAAGCTCATTCCATTTTCACTATTTTGCTACAAAATGGACCAGTCTTCCCATTTTCTTCATGGGTTTCATCAAGAAAATTCTGTGCAGCTCAGTACTGACAAGGGGGCTGCCTGTCAAGAGACTACAGAGCTACACGAAAGAAGTGGCATGAGTTTAAACCACCACCACATTATGGAGACACATTTGTATCAGTTTAAACCAGGTCCTATCAATTACACCTGCAATTTGTAAGCACAGGCTAATCTGATATGTATCCATATAGAAAATTGCATTCATTGAGCATCATGACTTCAGTTAAACAAGCATAACTCTGCCTAGATTAGGGCTTCCAAACCTACCCATGAATCATGTCATATTAAGACTCATTTAGAAAGTTTTCTTTACAATCGTTAACAGCTCAGAAAGTAATAGTGAACCAAATGAAAGTTTAAATTATGAAATCAGTAACTTGGTTGTCACACATTTCTGACACCTGAAACACAGCCCTCCCCTCTTCTGTCTTAAAGAGATTTTGTTTTCTTCCTCCCTAGTTTCTATTCAGTACCTTTCTCATCACTGCAAGGGGGAAGGATTTTATCTTTTACTAGTATCTTTGCACTGAGAGGTTAAGTTTTCATCTATAACACACCGAAGAAGAGTAGTTCTACAATCCCCTTCAAAAGTAGCGTGTTCTGTCATGACAACTTCTAAAAAAAGAAAAGAAATAATCTAAAGATACCACAAGTCCCCAAACACTGTGCAAGAATTTGCTATCAGTCCCTTTTAATTCTGTGACCAGCAGGTCCCGGCCATGCTCACCCTTTTTACCACCTCTCTTTTTGTAAGGTAGATCCTACCTTCTCAACTCTCCTTTTCTGTCACATCTCAAACAACCACCACCAAAAATTCATTATTTCAACTCTCACTGCCAGGCCCACTGAAGAGAAGCTTGGACAGTCAGCACACTCCCCTCTAAACTCCCTTTGGTGGTTATATTTGGGTTAGAGTGCCCAGCAATGTCTATTTCTCTGACGAAAGCCTAATTAGATGAAACAGACCAGAAAACTACTATAAACTGAATTCTCATTCATATGACACAGTAGGATGCTCACCTTTACATTACCGGCTGATGAATCACATATGACAAGCCCCAAGCCCCTGGCCTTCCCACCCGAGCTATCTCGGTCTGCTGTGCATTTGCTCATCTGAAAGACTTCAGGACAGAGAGGTGACCAGTGGGATTCACTGGACCAGTTCTACCTCATTTCAGCCACTTGTTAGGAAGGTTCAGGCTTTTGCTGCCCTCAGAGTATTCACAACCCACCAATTTGAACTATGGACTCTCCACGCCCTCCTCCAAGTCAGTCCAGACAACACTGTTCAGTGCAGGAACCAGAATGAAGTATGCTTCAGAGAGACCTTAACTAACATGCCTCATTTTGGTAATACAAACATAAAGCTTAAACAAAGCTTATGAGCAGCCCTCTTGCCGCTCAGTGGACTACAAAACACCCCAGTGAAACAATAAAAAGGCAGCTTTACAAGGCACGCATACTCTTAAAAAAAAGTCTTTTCTTCTTGCTGCGACTCACAGGCACCTCACGTGCTGGTGTATCGCTGGGTCCCTCACAAACAGCAGCCTGTGCCCAGCACGCTGCTGGCTACCGCCTCTCCCCGCACACACTCGAAGGCGCAGCAGGAGCAAAGGTCAAAACACCATCGCTCTGTCGAAGGCCTGGGACGGAGGGCAGGGGACGGCCAGCATGGGCGCTCCCACCTCAGCCTCCTCTCCTACCATCGCGTGTTAAGATGGCGGCCAGACCCAGCACCAGCGCAGCACAGCCTGGTCGAAGCTCTGTC